GATGAATCTCAGTAAGTATGCTAATCAAAAGTAAGAGTAATTTAAAAATCTGTAATTTCATTTCTGTAAAATCCTAACAAAGACAAATGAATCTATACAACAGAAAGCAGATCAATGATTGCCTTAAGACAGGAAGATGGGCATGGAATAGTAGGAAGGGATTTCAGAGTTCACAAGGAAGCTTTCATGTAATGGGTATGATGATGTCTATTTCTCAACAGTCACACCCTTGAAAATCCTGTTGAGTAGTTCTGCTCTGCACACTTGGGGTCCCTTGAGTTGGAATTATGTCATTGGCAACTACCAGCCATAACCACTAGTTGAGGGGAAAATCATACAATTTTGTCTTTAAAAGTATGTATTCAAAATACTCTGTTCAAATGTTAAATGAGTGGATTCCACTCAACCTTTCATTGTGGTGTGTTACCCATTTAAAATATAGTTAGTTAGGTTCATCTCCTCCTGTTTGTGTTCCTTTTAGCATCCCCTCCACCCATGTTTTTATTTTGGGTATATGTATCAAGTATTAGTATTGTCACAAAAGTGAAAATGATGCAAAAGTAATTTTTTTCTAAAAATGATGTAAGTCCATAAATATTTTCATATTTCCCATCCTTATACAAAAGGCCACAATAATTACATAACCATTTAAAAATGTGTGTTATAACATACCTATTATGATGCATATATAATAAATATTATGTGTGTATGCTGGAAACTGCTGTACTTTTTCATAAAGAGCTTCCTCTCCTTTATATTTAGAACACTCTATTACATTTTATTGCACATGATCATTTTAGGTCATTTATAGTTCTCTTCTATTACAAGTCATGTTACAATAAATAATCTTGTGCTTATCTCACCACTAGTCCTATTGGCAGCATCATGACAGATGAAGAGATTGAGATTGTTAACAGCTTTGGTTTGCTTGATTCCACAATCAACACTCTAGGTACTAGCAACCAGGAAATCAAAAGACAAATTACATTGGGAAAGTCTGCTGTCAGGGTCCTCTTCAGTGTACTGAAGAGCAACTGTGTCAGTCTCGAGACTAAGGTGCACTTGATCCAGGCCATAGTCTTTGTAATTACTTGCTATGCATCAGAAAGCTGGATGATGACTAGGAATGATAAAAGAAAAATTGATGCCTTTAATCTGTAGTACTGGAGAAGAGTATTGAATAAACCATGGATGGCTAGGAGAATAAATAGGTTTGTCCTGTTTTTATTGCTGTTGTTAATATGCTGTGATTTGCTTGTTACTCATAGCACCCCTATGCTCTATCATTTCCCAGCCTTATTATCTCTGACACACCGACCCTCATTACCCCAGTCACTGAGTCAGTCTATCTCATTGAGGTTCTTCCTCTCATGTGCTGTCCCTCCACCCTTCCAAGCATGATGTCCCTCTCCAAGGATTGGTCCCTCCTTGCAACATGCCCAAAGTATTGTCAGATGAAGACTCAGAATCCTTGCCTCCAGGGAGCAGCCTGGTTTCACCATCTCTAGGATGAACCTGCTTGTTCTAGCAGTCGATGGTTTATTCAATATTGTTCTCCAGCACCACATCTCAAAGGCATCAATTCTGCTTCTGTCATCCCTAGTCATTGTCCACCTTTCTGATATACAGCAAGTAATTGTGAAGACTGTGGCCTGGTTCAGGCACATCTTAATATCCAATCAGATAGCATTGCTCTTCAGTTCTCTGGAGAGGTCGCTGACAGTCAGCCTTCCCAATGCAATTAGTCTCTTGATTTCCTGGCTTCTGGTACCAAGAGCCAAGTGGACTGAAGCTGTTAACAGCCTCAGTCTGTTCACCATCTATCATGATGTTGCCATTCAGCCTAGTGGTGAGAATCTTTGTTTTCTTGATTTTGAGCTTCAGTCCATATTGAAGACTGCAGTCCTTTACCTTCAGCAAGTGTTTCAGGTCCTCCTCAGTTTCAGTAAGCAGCATGTGTAATCTGCATAATGCAGGTTGTTGATGAGTCTTGCTCTGATCCTGATGCCATACTCCCCCTCATAGAGCCCAACCTCCTGCAAGATCTGTTCAGCATATAGATTGAAAAGGTATCGAGGTAGGACACATCCTTGGTATATACCCTTCCTGATTTTGAAACATGCAGTCTTTTGCTCTGTTAGAGTGAAACCAGGCTTCTCATTGGAGGCAAGGATTCTGAAGCTTCATCTAACATAATTTGCACATGTTGCAAGGAGGGACCAGTCCTTGGAGAGGGACATCATGCTTGGAAGGGTGGAGGGACAGCACATGAGAGGAAGAACCTCAATGAGATGGACTGACTTAGTGACTGGGGTAATGAGGGTAGGTGTGTCAGAGACAATAAGGTGGACAGATGATAGAGCAGGGTTCAGAGCTGTTGTACATATTGTTGCTATGAGACGGAAGCGACTTGATGACACATAACATGTATTGGAACTGAACTTCAGGAAAAAATATCTAGAAGTGAGATAAAAGATAAACTTTTATATAGTTGTCTCTTCTTTCTGTTTATCTGATGTCAAATATTAATCCATGTGGAAGATTCATCAGCAGTCTGCTTAATGCATATGACACAACCTTGCTTGCTGAAATTGAGGAAGACCTGAGGCACTTGCTGTTCAAGGTCAAGGACTGCAGCCTTCAATATGGATTGAGGCTCAGTATCTAGAAGACAAAGATTCTCACCACTGTACCAATTGGCAGCATCAGGATGGATGGTGAAGAGAATGAGATTGTTCACAGCTTTAGTCTGCTTGGCTCCACATCAATACTCTTGGCACCAACAGCCAGGAAATTAAAAGATGTATTGTGATGGGAAAGTCTGCTGTTAGGGCCCTCTACAAGTACTGAAGAGCAGTGGTGTCACTGTGGAGGCTAAAGTGTGCCTGATACAGGCCTTGGTCTTTGCAGTTACTTGTTATGCATCAGAGAGATGGACAATGGCTAGGGATGACAGAAGGAGAATTGATGCCTTTGAACTGTTGTGTTAGAGAAGAGTATTGAATATACCATGGACTGCTAAGAAAACGAACAGATTCATCCTCGAGAGGGTTAAACCAGGCTGCTCCTTGGAGGCAAAGATTCTGAAGCTTTATCTGACATACTTTGGACATGCTGTAAGGAGGGACCAGTCCTTGGAGAAGGACATCATACTTGTGAGGGTGGAGGGACAGAGCAGGAGAGGAAGGCCCTCAATGAGGTGGATTGATTCAGTGACTGGAGTAATGGGGGTAGGTGTATCGGAGACAGTGACACTGGCACAGGGGTTAGGGCTATTGTACGTTGGGTCACTATGAGTTGCAGGCAGCTCAGTGGCACATAACAAAACAAGTGTTTCCACAGCTTTGCCAATGGAGTGTCTAGTTAGTCCTCTCAGTATTTGCCAGCCTGGTAAGAGAAATGATATTTTATTATAAATTTAGTTTACTTTCTTCTATGCCTTATTAATTTTTGTACATTTTTCCTTGGATTTTTTTTTGGCTTTTTGTTTTTTAATTTTAACTTGTTCTTTCGTAGCTTTCATTTGAAAATTTAACTCCTTTTTATCTGTTTTTTATCAATATAAATGTTTAAATTTATAGATTTTCTTTAATTACTACATTAAATATATCCCCTAGATTAAAATACAGTGTATTTTCATAGTCATTAATATTTAGAAGTTTTGTTATTCCAGGTTGCATTTCTCCCTTCACTCAAGAGTTTGCTAGTAGGAGATTTTAAATTTCCAAGTACCAGGAAGAACATTAAATTTTAAACTAGTGATTAAAACATTACACTTCAGTTGTAGTACTTGGGAAATTCCTTTATGTGGAACAGCAGTCCCTGTGAGGGTACACAGGTTTTGAGCTAGCAGCACATTTGAATCCTGTTCACCATGTTTGGACCAAAGAACGTTGGCTGATTCCCAGTGTTATCAAATTTAACACAGATCACACACATAATTGGTACGCGCGCGCACGCGCGCGCACACACACCCACAACCAAGCTTTGACATCAGAATGTTACTATGTGGTGAGTGCCCCAGCTTAGGGCTCCCTTGCCAGAATAAAGAATTAAGCCAAGTTGGAGATGAACAAGAAGGAGAATTCCACCATGGAGGCACCAGGGAGTGAATGGCAGTTTTAGTGGTTCTGAAAAGAGCCACTGCTTGGTATTACAGCCACTGAAGTCTGAGATACCTGGTTTGCTGACAGAGAAGGTGAGGAGATAAGAATGGAGATAAAAGTAAAGGCATGTATTAGTGAAAAGAAAATCAACATATTCCAGAGAGAGGGGAATGGGTCAGTCTCTGAGGAAAGAAGTGGAGGGGACAATGGGTTATGCGGGGATTAAATGCATAGCCTGTCAGCTCCCTATGGGGATAGCCCTTCTGTTGTGTAGGTTAGGGATGTTTGGGCCAATGGAATGCCATTGTTGGAGGTTCCCACTGCAGTTCACCATTCATGACCTCACTGAGCCAATGGAATGCCATTGTTGGAGGTTCCCACTGCAGTTCACCATTCATGACCTCACTGATTGTGTATTATGTCTCCACTCGCTTACATGCTACTTAGGTTACTTTGGAGGTAATTCTCCCTCTGCATGCTAGCTTTCTAGGGCATTGGTGTCTTCCGCCTAAGGCAGCATCACATCTCCTGGCTCTGATTGGATGGGCTTAGGTTGTGCTCTAATAGCTTATTTGACAAGCTACAACAAAAACTGCAAGGTGCTTTATAATTTTAACTTCACCTTTAACTCTGCTTCCATGTGCTTTTGCCTAAGTTATATAACAGCTTTCTAACTAAAACAAGGAGAGTGATAATTTCTACTTTGTAGGGTGGCGGTGGTGTTAATAAAAATGGCATTTATAAAAGTTCCTGGGTCGTATAGTCACTAAGTAAATAGCAGCTAACAGTATTTATTATTTATTCTTAATCACAGTACAGTAGCATATTATAGAAAAGCATGACTATATTTATACAAATTGAGGTGTCACTTATGTTGTTTCCTTTGTTGTTTAGTCGGTGTGCACAGTGTCATGAAGCATGATGCTATCGTGGATGGAACCAGTGCTGATTATATGCTGGTGGAGGCAGAGGCCACTAGAGTGGCTCAGGATGCTTTGCGAGCACTGAGACTCTCTCGTCAGCGGTGCCTTGGTGCACAGTCCGGTGTGCCAACCTGGACAGGCCAGCAGGGGATGTCTGGTGCACCAGCAAGAGTGAAGTAAGATTGCTGCCCTGTGTGCAAGTTAGGCAGCCAGGTGCTCTTGCTCAGGCTAGAGTCAAGACAGGCAGCGCTGTCTACGTTTTAGTATCCATAGCTATAGAAAACCCTACAGGAGCCACCACAAGCTGATCTTTAGTCACCTAGTTTTGGATGAACCAGGGACATAGAATCGCGGTCTTACCTTCATCCCTGCTTCCCAAAGCCAATTTTCAGAGAAAGATGAATGAGCTATTTTGTGTGACATAGTGTCATGAAAAATAAGAGATAAAGGATAATCATTAAACTTTTAAAAGATAATTTTCCCCAATCAGTAATTAGTTTTCGGCATACTCTTTTAAATAATTATCCTACCTAGAGTTCGAAGGTAGTTTTCATCACATAGTGGATTTAAGATGCTGATTGATTCTCATGCACCAACATAGAGTTCTTTAGTTCCAAGGATATTTAAGTAGGAGAATCTAAAGAGCTAAAACAGAAAGAGCTTGCTGTCAAAGAATAACTTTGTAGGTTATTTTGGGCTCCAGGGCCAGGTTCAGATCTTTTTTATTCAGTAGGGAATCTATGAGTCAAAGTCAGCTGGACAGGACATAGCAAGTTACAAGAACAAAGCACATGTATTAAATCTTTTGTAATTCTCCTTATTTAGGAGTAGATTTGGTCAGAAGAGGAATTGTAACTTGGCTGTCCAGCATTCTTCTTCACCATCTACAAAAGAGAAGGTTCAGGTAATAGGATAGCCCATGTGTTGTGCTGTTGTGAGTGAGACTTGCTTGATTGAATTGCTTTGAAAATGTTAACAGATTCAAGATGTTAAAACGAAAATGATTATCATTGGCAGAATAACTCTGTGTGTGTGTGTGTGTGTGTGTGTGTGTGTGTGTGTGTGTGTAGTCTGAAGCATTTCCATTTAAATCTAAAAGGGCCAGTCAAAGTCTTTAACCTAAAATATAGTAGTGGCCATCTTCTGTTTTCAAAGGTAACATAAAAATAAGTGGTGTGTGTTACTGCTAACATGTTGTGACTGGAGACGAAGTGCCAGCGTCAGAGACTTCAGTGTGGGGACATAAGCAAGCTATAAATTTAGCTTAAACACCACTGTCTTCTTTTTCAGAATACTGCTCTGAAGAAAGAGAAAAAAGATACTGTTTCTGAACATTTTAGTGGAAAAGCTGATGATACAGACTCTCCATGTGGGGCTCCCACTTCATCTTCACTCCTAGCAAAAATGAGAGCTAGAAACCACCTTGTTTTGCCAGAGCGATTGGAAAGTGACAATGTGTCTCTTCCTGAAGCTTCTGCATCTCTACTTTTAACTACAGAACATGATGATCTTTTGGTAGAAATGAGAAACTTTATAGCATTTCAGGCCCATGTTGATGGCCAAGCCAGCACCCAGGAGATCCTACAGAAGTTTGAATCTAAGTTATCAGTGTCACAATCTTGTGTATTTCGAGAACTGTTGAAAAATCTTTGCAATTTCCGTAGAACTTCTGATGGTGAAGGAGTTTGGAAACTTAAGCCAGAGTACTGCTAATTAACTTTATTTTCTAAATCTTTTAATTGACTTTATAATAGAAATTTTTATTAAGGATTTTGTGATTTATAATCTTACTTTGTCAATTGAAGTTGACTACACTTAATGTTTACTCTGAATGATGACTACCTCATAATTAAAACTTTAGTGGGGGAGGAGGAACTCTTTCTCCAAAACTTAAAAGTCTTAATAATGCTAAGTAAAAAATAATTTCTTTTTCACCACCTTGCTTTCCCACTCCACTCTCACCATGAATTATTTAAAAAATCAGGGACCTAAAGAGTCACTCTTTTGAACACATTTGTTCTTACCTAGATAAAGCTAGCATGGAAACAAAAATTTTAAGGGGTGTTTTTTGTTTTTTTTAACTAAAATATGTCGTATTCAATCAGAGTTGTTTCTAACTACTGAAATACCTCATTTAATTAGACCTGTTCATCAGTATCTGATTGTAGCATTATTTTTACATTTAAGTTTTAAAGTATTTTAATGTGTTTGTTACCACCAAGACAAGGTACGGATTTGTTATCTTTCAAGTGAACACATTAGTTGCCTTAAAATGATTTTTCTTATAATATACTGCTAAATTGGCAAATATCCTTGTAAGTAAAGAATGGAATATTTAGTCATAAGTGATAAGACATGTATTTGGCAAAAAAGTACTCAATTTACACTGGCTTTTCTTTAAAGAAAAGGTGTCTTTCACCCTAATAATGAGTATTGATTATAGGAAAATGAAATAAGTTATTAAAATTCACACAGCATCACAAAGTACAAATAAAACAACCCAACATACACACATGCAAACATCACTGCAGAACCTATGACTAGAGATAAGCATCATTACAATGGAGGAAATGTCATCTCTTTCCTCCACATTTAAATGCTGCTAGATAACTTTTGAATTTTTTGTTACTTTTGAATTTTATTTGCTGCCGATACAAATAGAAAAAATATTTTCTGTTAGAGCATTCCACCCAGCAACAGCATAGTAAACTTTCTCCACATATGGAACATTCTGTAGGCCAAATTAAGTTTCAGTAAAAACAATACTAAAAACCATTTCTATATTGTTGTTGTTATGTGTCGTTGAGTCGCCTGCGACTCATAGCGACCCTACGTACAACAGCCCTAAACTCCGCTCTGTCCTGTGCCAATCGCACTGTCTCTGACACTCCCATCCCAATTATCCCAGTCACTGAATCAATCTACCTCATAGAGGGCCTTCCTGTCCTGCGCTGTCCCTCCACCCTCCCAAGCATGATGTCCCTCTCTAAGGACCGGTCTCTCCTCACAACATGTCCAAAGTATGTTAGACGGAGCCTCAGAATCCTTGCCTCCAAGGAGCCACCCAGTTTAACCCTCTCCAGGACAAATCTGTTTGTTTTCCTAGCAGTCCATGGTATTCTCAATACTCCAGCACCACAGCTCAAAGGCATCAATTCTCCTTCTATCCTCCTTGGTCATTGTCCAACTCTCTGATGCATAACAGGTGATTGTGAAGATCGTGGCCTGTATCAGACGCACCTTAGTCTCCAAAGAGATACCATTGCTCTTCAGCACTTTGGAGAGTTCCCTAACAGCAGACTTTCCCATGGCAATGTGCCTTTTAATTTCCTGGCTGCTGGTGCCAAGACTGTTGACTACAGAGCCGAGCAAACTAAAGCTGTGTACAATCTCAATCTCTTCAGCATCCATCCTGATGCTGCCAATTGGTCCAGTGGTGAGAATCTTTGTCTTCTTGACATTGAGCCTCAATCCATATTGTAGGCTGCAGTCCTTGACACTCTGCAGCAGGCGCTTCAGGTCCTCCTCAGTTTCAGCGAGCAGGGTTGTGTCATCCCCATAACGCAGATTGTTGATAAATCGTCCACCAATCTTGACCCCACATTTCTCCTCATAGAGCTCGGCCTCCTGGATAATCTGTTCTGCATATAAGTTGAAAAGGTATGGAGATAGGATGCATCCCTGGCGTACGCCCTTCCCAATTTTGAACCATGCAGTGTTCCCTTGCTCTGTTCTGACGACTGCCTCCTGGTCCAAGTATAAGTTTCGCATTAGAACGATCAAGTGTTCTGGGATTCCCATTCTTCTCAGAGTCGGCCATAGTTTGTTATGCTCTACACAGTCAAATGCCTTTGCATAGTCAATGAAACACAGATAGACATTCCTCTGGTGTTCCCTGCTTTCAGCCAAGATCCATCTAACATCAGCTACAATATCTCTAGTACCACGACCCCTTCTAAACCCAGCCTGGACTTCTGGTAGTTCTCTGTTGATGTGCTGTTCCAGTCGTTTTTGGATAATCTTCAGTAAAATCTTGCTTGCATGTGAAATCAGTGAGATTGTTCTGTAGTTTCCACATTCTGTTGGGTCACCTTTCTTTGGAATAGGAACAAATATCAATCTCTTCCAGTCAGTTGGCCAAGTGGTCGTTCTCCAGATTTCTTGGCACAACTTGGTGAGCACATCCAGGGCAGCATCTGTTAATTGAAATATGTCAATTGGTATACCATCTATTCCTGGAGCCTTATTTTTTTGCCATTTCCTTCAAAGCAGCCTGAACTTTTTCATCACCATAGGCTCTTGCTCATATGTTGTTTCATGAAATTCTTCTGTGTCTTCCAATTCCTTTCAATACACTGACTCAGTATATTCCTTCCATCTTCTTTTAATACTTCCGGGATCATTTAACATTCTGCCGAAAGCATCCTTGATTATAGCAACTCGAGGTTTGAATTTGTTCTTCAGTTCCTTGAGCTTAAGATATGCTGAGCGAGTTCGGCCCTTTTGATTTTCTGACTCCAACTCTTTGCACATTTCATTGTAATATTTTGCTTTGTCATCCCGTGCTGCCTTTTGAAATCTTCTATTCAACTCTTTAGTATCTTGAATTCTTCCCTGTGCTTTGGCTTCTCTGCGTTCCAGTGCAATTTTCAGAGTCTCTTCTGACACCCATTTTGGTCTTTTCTTCCTCTTCTGTCTTTGCAATGACCGTTTGCACTCTTCCTGGATGATGCCCTTGATATCCTCCCACAGCTCATCTGGCCTTCGTTCATTAGTGTTCAAAGCCTCAAATCTGTTCCTGGGATGGTTCTGAAATTCAGGTGGGATAGACTCAAAGTCATATTTTGGTTGCCTTGGATTTGGTTTAATTTTCCTCAGCTTTAGCTTGAATTTGCATATGAGTAGTTGGTGGTCTGTTCCACAATCAGCTCCTGGCCTAGTTTTCATAGCTGATATTGAGCTTCTCCGGCGGTTCTTTCCACATATGTAATCAATCTGATTCCTACAATGCTATAAAATTAGAAATCAACAGTAGGGAAGTCAAGGGGGAAAAGTATGTGGAAACTCAACACCCAGCTTGAACAGTACTGAGTATTAGAAAAAAAAAACAGCAAGCAAAACCTACTGTTCCCTTAAGAATGGAAATGGTAAAGATGAGAGCAGAAATAAATGAAACAAGCAATAGAAAGAATAAGCAACCCTCTGGGAGAAGATGCACGTCACATGGAGACAGAATGAAATGGGTGACGGTACAGCACAACTACTTGAACCTACAAGGATAACAACAAAATAGTATGAAGACCTGTACTCAGAAAATTGAAAACTCCGAACAAATGGACCAGTTTTTAGAACCTCACTAGTTACCTAAGCTAAAACAGAGGCAGGATATTTGAATCCATCACAAAGGATTCAAATTGAACAGCTCACAAAGTACTCCCAACAATAGCAAAAAAATTCTGACCTAGATGGTTTCGTTGGAGAATTCTACCAAACATTCAGAGAAAACACCAATTCTACTTGACTACATCAGAATATTTTTTTAAAAAACTACTTCATAATTTACTCTGTGAAGCAAGCAAAACCCAGCTACAAGAACCAGGCAAAGACACCATCAAGGAAAATTCTATGCTAATGTCGCACATGAACACAGATTAAAAAAAAAGTCAACAAAATTCTGGCTGGTAGAATCCAAGATCCTATTTTAAAAATCATAAAACATGATCAGGTAATATTTATACCAGGTACACAAGAATAGTTCAACATAAAAATACCTGATCATTGTAATCTACCACATAAATAAATGAAACAACGACACAATTATCTCAGTTGATGCAGAGAAAGCATTTGTAAAGTATCCTTTCCTGGTAAAAAACATTAATTAAGTAGTAATGGAAGGATGATTTAATTTGCATAATTGTTGTGTACCATCAAGTCAGAACTGACCCATAACTGACCCTTTAGCAGTTATTCAGAGGCAGTTAACCTCACAGGAGGAGACTGTTCATCTTTCTCCTGTGGAGCTGGTGGCCTTGAACCATGTGCCTTCAAGATTGCAGTACAGCTTCTTGCCACTAGACCACCAGAGCTTCCTCGACATAATTAGAAGTATATGTACAAAATCAATGGCCAATATTATATATATTGAAGATATATTTAAAGCTTTCCCCCTTTGAAAGAGAAACAAGGGTGCCCTTTATCACTACTCCTATTCAGTATTATTGCAGGTTTTTATGTGCCACTAGGTCAGAGCTCTAGCAGATTTTCAGAGGTCAGGTACACTATCTTTTTTTTTTTTTTCATTTTATTTTATTAAATTTTACTAATTTTAATGAACATGTACAGATATTTGGGGTTTTCATTCATTCATTGTTGCACTATTTTCTCTACCCTCCTTCCCAGTTCGTTCTTTTTTTTTACCCCCTTGAAAGGTACACTATCTTGGCACCAGCAGTCAAGGAATAAACGACTAATTGCATTGGGAAAAATCTGTCAGGGACCTCTCCAGAGTGCTAAAGAACAGTGATGTCAGTCTAGAGACTAAGTTGAACCCAATAAAGACCATGGTCTTTGCAGTTTCTTGCTGTGCATCAGAGAGCTGGACCATGACTAAGGGTGACAGAAGAACTGATGCCTTTGAGTTATGCTCGAGAAGAGCATTGAGCATAGCATGGACTGCCAAAAGAACAAACAAAAAGTCACTCTTGGAGAGAGTG